AAAAATAATAAATATCAATGCACGTGAACTTATAACTTATTTCATAATCTTCATGGCAAAAAATCAAGCTTACCACAAACCTATGGCGACGGATGAGAGCAGCTTGAATGGGCAGCACCCCACCTAAAAGAAGAAAACCTATTAAATGTAAAAGAGAAACCTTCATATTTCACTCACTCTAAAAAATAAATATATGATGATGTGAACCCTCCAAAGTTTTTATCTGTTTTTAGGCTATGCATACAATATATATAGAGAGAGAGATGTATATATGTATACATGGGTGCTGCTGGAGGTGAAGAAAAATGAGAGCTGGTTTTGACCACGCTAAACATGAAGATGATGAATCATTTAAGCACGTCTCTCACTAATAAATTACAAATTTGCGTACCAAACGTAGAATTCCAGCATTTTTATGTTACTTGATCTTTCTGTTTCGAGTTTCATTGTCAAAGGCTTTGAATTCTGACAATTGGGGGAGGAATATTTGTCTCTTACTTGATGTTCTTGCTTAAATTGTTGTGAATGAAAGAGATGGATATGAAAATGAATAAATCTATATGTACATAATTATTGTACATAATGAATTACATAGGCCCATTGTGGAAGAAATCTTGTCGTGAATGTGAAGTGTGGAAAAGTCAAAAATTGTAGAATGCCGATGAATGCGCGCCACATGTCAATTATTTAATGTATTATGTAAATGATTATGCATGGTCTATGAAAATATAGCAATTATTGTTAATGCTTTATGGACAATAATCCTTTAGTAAACAGATTACATAATAATGGATGACAATTAATTCTAATAGTGTATGTTTGGTAATACTTTTTCTACATTATAAGCATGCGTTATACCTTATAGAAGAATGTGTGGAAAAAAGATACGATTCTATATAGTGAATAAAAATAAAATTTGATCATCCGATAAGCTTCAGAATGTTTTACAAAACGTACCAAAAATGCTTGACAAACGTTCCAACAAATTTTTTCTTATTTTTTTTAAAGGCAAAATAAAACTACGATATGAAATTTCTAATGATAAAAATTCCGTAAGTGTTACCTATCAAGTATCATCGTAGAATTCATCGCTTCAATTATGCAAAAAAATTAAAATAAAGATAAAAAATTAAAAAATAATGTCACTGTTGGCACGTTTCTTCATAGATAGCAACAAACAACTAGTGTGGACCGCAAGTAAAATAGAAAATGTTAGATTAAGCAGGGGCTTCTTTTTTTTTTTTTTAATGTTAGATTAAGCTTAAAATAAAGTAGGATGTTACTCAAGGTTTTCACAAATATATATAATTTAGAAGTTATTTAAAAATGAAACTAAGTTCTCATTTGAAAGTTTCTTCTATTTTAAATAATTAATAGCATAGTTACTAAAATCAAATCGGACCAATCTATTTCGGATCTGGAATCGACGAACCGGACAGTAATCTTGTCCGATTTGTATTAATTGATCCAATAGCATATGAACCGGTCATGAACAGCTCAAACCGATCCATTATCGTCCAAACCGAAGGGGTTCGGAGCAAACCGGAATCAATTCAATCTAAACCGATTAGTTAACAAATTGGTTCAAGGCAAAATTTTATATAACATTTGCATTGGGAAAGATTTGAAATTGTGTTCCCTATATGAATTATGAAAAGCGTGACCATCATGGCAATTGCAGAATCTTAACATTAAACGTAAGAGAAGTATATACATTCAATTTTAGCAAAGTAA